CTCGCGGTGCGGCGTCTGCTCCGGGCGCGCGGCGGAGCGGCCATGGAGGCGGGTGCCGGGGCCGGCGCGGGAGCCGCGGGCTGGAGCTGCCCCGGCCCAGGTCAGAACCGACCGCCCTTACTCCCCACCATCCCTCTTCCCCCTCCCCTGGGTCTAGACCCCCAGACCCTCTTTCCCTGCAGGGCACTCCACCTCTCCGCCTGGAATCGCCCTCCCTCCGCCCCGGGCCCTCCACCCGGGCCCGGGCTCCATCTTCCCACCCTGGCCGCACCCTCCCTGGCAGCCCCTCCCTGGAGCCCTTTCCAGCTCGCCTAGCCAGCCTGAGAGGGGGGCCCCGACCCTGCGTCCCCTCCGGCCCCGGAGGCTCCCGAGCGCAGGCCGATGGGGGAAGGCCGAGATCCGGAGAGAGAACGGAGGGAATTGGAGCCGGGTCGCCCAGCACCCCAGCCCCTTCCCACAGCCCTCATCACCTGCCGCCCCTTCCCCCAGCCGCCTCACCCTCCCAGCCTCGTCTTTATGCTGTCCCCCTCGCTCTCTTCCATCCTGGCCCACCTCCTGTGTCCCCTCCCGGCTAAATCTGCACACTTCCTTCTGCCTGTGCAAGGAGAGAAGCCCTGAACAGGGGTGCTGACAAGGCAGGGCGGGGGTCCTGTGGCTGAGAGAGCTAGGCAGAGGAAGGCAGGGACATCCTCTGGTATTAAAAATCCCAGGGCTGAGTGGTTGGAAGGCACGTCCCCTTCTCTCCACCCATCCCAGCCCCCAGCGGCGCTGACATCCCCCAACCCTTCCTCTCTGCCTGCTCACAGGAGCCACGGTGACCACTTTAGGCTCCTATGAGGTATCTGATGGTTGTGAGAGGAAGAAAGGCCAACGCTGGTCCTTGGAACGTCGAGGGATGCAAGCTATGGAGGGTGAGTTTTCCCAAAAGTCTCCCCCACCCAATTCCCTTTCCTTCCATCCTCCCTCTGCCCCTCGTGCTCCCAGTCAGGACACAGCCCTTGCCTCAGTTCACCTCAGCCCCCTTCTCCCCTATCTGAGTGACATCCTCCCCAGGGATCAGGCTTGGAGGGAAATCCAGGGCTCATCTCTCTGGGCCCTCAGTCTCCATCTAGCCAGGCTGTATGTGCTAGGAGAGCGGCCAGAAAGAGAAAGAGGCTTTGTTGGGCAGAGCTTCAAAGCAGCCTTGCAGCAGGGGGCTGTTCTCACTGTCACCAACCCAGATCCCAAGCATCCCTTATTCTGAAAAGCAGGGAAGTGGCCATGTGCACTGTCTTTCTGGTGCCACCACCACTCACTTCTGATGAAGCTCAGGACTTTAGTTCTCTCCAATATCTTACTGCCTGAAAGAGAAGGCCTAGCAGGGGGCAGGTGAGAAGGCCAATCTCCTACAACCCATCGGCCCGCCACACCCGTGTGACTTGGCAGTGGCGCCAGCCTATGCCCTAGGAAGGATGCAGGTCTGTTTTCCAAGACTTCCTGTGAAGTGCCCCCAGACCCCTCTGTATACTCAGTGTGGGCAACCCTGCTGTTCCCATGGGGACAGATGATACAAGGGGCCCCAGATGAACCCCAGGCTGCTGCTATTGGAAGAAGTAAGACCAGAGAGTAAGAATTTTAAAACAAAGCAAGCAATTGCCATCCAGACAAGATTTTGCTGTTTAGAGGAACTGCATTGCAGTAAGGAGGGGGTGCTCACCAGCCAGAGACTGGGACAGGCACACCCCACTTTCTGGATGCATTAAAGAGGCGGGCTTTCTTTTACACCCAAGTACAACATAAGACTTCCTTTGAGAACTGCCCTGTGGTCAGCGGGAGGAGAGGCCTCGTAACACTCAGGTAGAGGAGAGGAGACCTCATGACCCCCAGCAGGGAAAAGGAAGGTGGACCCCGTAGAACATTTCACAGAAGCTATTTGATAATAAACCTTTGCGAGGGCCCCAATGTTTGTCCAGAAAAACAGTTAGACTCCTTCTGTTTGATACTTTCTTTCTCTACCTATTGATATTCAATGCTTCTTTCTCTCTGTGTATAACATATATATAAAAAACCTTTGCCATCGAGTCAGGTGACTCATTCCAGCCCCAGGTGTGTCAGGGTATAACTGTGCTCTATAGGGTTCTTAGTGGCTGATTTTTCAAAAGTAGATTGTCAGCACTTCTGGGTGGCCTCAAACCACCAACCTTTCAGTTAGTAGCTAGGTGCATAAATGTTTGTTCAACCCAAGGACTCCTTTTACCATGGAAAGGCTAATTTCTCACAAACTACCTGGATAATTTTTTAACTTTCTACAAACCCCCCAACCAACCTTTGCCCCATTGGCCTGAAGGCGCATCCAATGTCTGAATTCTTTCTTGACCACTACACAGAGGCCAGGACTAAAAAGAACCAGGTATCCTTGTGCAAGCTTCATGTGGCTGAGCCAGCACCAGGCTGTTGGGTTTGTCCAAAGGCGGTATTAGGAGACCACCAAATGCAATATTGGTCCAGAGGGTCTGAGAGAAGAAGGGCTGCCTCCAAACTTGACGGTCATACCTGAGGACTCACCATCAGTACAGGTCCTGCTCAGGGGCTCCTTAGGGGACACCAGGTGGCACTATTATACCATCTCTGCCTGGGATAGTGAGTTTGAGGGCCCTTGAAGAACTGTGCAAGGGAATTGACTCTGACTGGTGGGATGGGTGTGTCTCCTAGGGGAAGTGTTACTCCCAGCTCTCTACGAGGAGGAAGAGGAGGAGGAAGAGGTAGAAGAGGAGGTGGAAGAAGAGGAAGAACAAGTGCAGAAAGGCGGCAGCCTGGGCTCCCTGTCGGTCAGCAAGCACCGGGGCCTGAGCCTCACGGAGACGGAGCTGGAGGAGCTGAGAGCGCAGGTGCTGCAGCTGGTGGCCGAGCTGGAGGAGACGCGGGAACTGGTGGGGCAGCATGAGGACGACTCCCTGGAGCTGCAGGGTGAGCGCCTGGGATGGGCGGCAGGGCCTGGCCCTGAAGGCTCCGCTCCCACACGTCCCAGGCCTCACTGGGCTCCCTCTCCCCGCAGGGCTTCTGGAGGATGAGCGGCTGGCCAGTGCACAGCAGGCAGAGGTGTTCACCAAGCAGATCCAGCAGCTCCAAGGTAACTCCCAGGACTAGGGCTGGAGGGAGGAGCCCTGGTGGTGCAATAGTTAAGCCCTCAACTGTTAACCAAGAGGTTGACAGCGCAGAACTACCCAACAGCTCCACGGGAGAAAGACCTGGTGCCCTGTTTGTGTAAAGATTACAGCCAAGAAAACACTAGGGTTGAAATTGACTCAAGGGCATGCAACAACAGGGTGGGAGGGGAGGGGCTAGCCAAGTACTTTTTTCCTGAGGGTTTGACTGAAATGTGGCAGACAAAAATAACCTAGTTCAGTACTTCTGCCTCATTTTTCTCCACTATTCTCAGCCTTTCTTCTTCCTCTCCTTGCACATCTAGCTGACTCTTCTGCCCTCCCCTTTCCTTGTTTGCCTTCCCTTCTCATCTCTTCTCCTGGTCAGCTCTCTCCTTTCTCTCTCCTTCAGCCTCCTCCTCTGCCCACTCTTGCACCCCTTTTCCTTTGTTCTCCTGGTCAGAGCCAGGGGTTGAGTGACAGGGTTGGATTCCAGGCCACATTCCTCCTCCTGTCCCTCCAAGGGCACTATGGGAAAGGGCAGTGAGCCAATGAGAAGTGACCGGAGGGGACTCTGCATCTTTTAAGGGGAGCAGATGAGAATGCTTCTCTTGCTCCCCAGGACCTGAGCTTGTGACCCAGAATCCCTGCCTCCCAAACCCACGTCCCTTTGTCTCTGAGAAGCAGCAAGGCAGGCGTCCCACATTCTACCACACTACCAAATACAGCGGCAGCTTTTGTTACTTTTGTGGGCTTCCGGGAGGTTTGAGGGAGCTGCCCTAGAAAACAGTGGGGACTCTCCTGAGAGAACTGAGATCAAGCCAAAAGAGAAATGTACGTGGAGAAAAAAGGATGGCCAGGAAGCAGGCCTGGAGAGGAGCATGCAAAGGTGTAGGAGGTGAGGAGGATAGGAGGAGAAAGAAGATGTAAGCAAAAATGGACGCAGGAAAAGTGGGCAGTGAAATGGAGGCAATAGAGATGTATTGAACGGGGAGAAAGCATGGGGTGCTGGCCTCAGATCACCTCGGTTCTTGGGCCTTGCTCTGCCAGTAACAAGCTTCGTGATCTTGGACAGGTCGCTTTATCTCTCTAAGACTCACTTTCTTATCTGGGACTTCTAACTGGGGCTAATTCATTTGTTTACCAACCATTTATTGATTGCCTGTGTACTTGAAGGTCCAGCTACGTACAGGATAGACCAGATGCCTGCTAGAATGAAGAATACATTCTAATGGGAAGAGGCAGAAAATAAACCAATAAACAAAACCAGCTCAGTTGGTAATGAAAGCTATGAAAACAGTATAATAATAATATGGTATATGAAGGAGCTCTGGTAGCATAGTGCCCAAGGCACTTGACTGCTAACCAGAAGGCTGAGGTTCAAACCCACCAGCCACTACTTGGGAGGAAAGTTGGGCAATCTACTTCCGTAGTGATACCGCCTTGGAAACCCAAGGAGGTGTCGCTGTGAGTCAGGTCTGAATCAACGGCGCATAACAACAACAGCATAATGATATAAGACTCTTTTGGCAAGGAACAAGTTTGGGGGCTAGAAGAGTAGGTTTTTTTTTTTTTTTTTTTAATTGTCCTTTGGGTGCAAATTTACAAACCAAATTTGTTTTGCATTCAAACAGCTCATGCACATTTGATTTCACTGCCCAGATTACCATCCCCGACCATAACAAACTCTGCTAGGAGAGTCATTTAGGAATTGTTATGTAATTGATGAGTTTGAGGTGGCTATTGGAGCTGTTGGAGCTTTGGTGGCATAGTGGATAAGGCATTTGCCTGCTAACCAGAAGAACAAACAGAGTTTGAAACCTACCAACTGCTCTGTGGAAGGAAGACGGGGCAATTTACTTCCATAAAGATTTACAGCCTCGAAAACCCAATGGGGGTCACTGTGAGTCGGCATTGACCTAATGGCAGTGAGTTTGGAGTTGTTTTTTTGTTGTTGTTAGAATCCAAGTGAAAATATGTTAAGGAGGCAGTTGGCAATTGGGAGAAGTCAGGGTTGCAGATACACAAATTTGGTTGTCATCCCTGGGAGATCACTTGGAGAAATATAAGAGAAAAGGGGGTCCAGCGGGGAGGGCATTGTAGTACACAGAGGTCCAGTATAGAAGGAGAAACAAACAAGATTGAAGTAGGAGGAACTCCTGAAACATTTCATGCCCTGGAAGCCAGCCAAAGAACAGAAAACCCTTCAGGGAGATAATGTTGGTGTTTTGAAGAGAGGCAGAGAAATAAGGTAGTAGGAAATAGGGTCATGGGAGGGCTTGTTTTTTCTTTCTTTCTTAAATGAGCAACACTAGATCATGTTTGAATGATGAAGGAAAACATTCCCATAGAAGTGCAAAAGCCTTTACTTGGAGAAGGGTCTCTGTTCTCAAATAGGGAAATCAGAGAATCAAAGTGGACATGCAGGTAGCCAACCACCCAGGAAAAAAGTTCTAGAGCGATTCCGGACTCGGTACGCTGATTTCTAGGACGAGACCTGATCCAGGTCAGCTACCCAAGGAGGGGTACCTAGTGCATGCGCCTCAAGCCCGGCCCCGCCCGAGGAAGCCGCGGCTGGCCTCACGCACGCGCGTTGCCCGTTTCCGCCGAGAGGGGGCACGCGCGCACCCAGAGGCAGCTGGTGTTGCGAGGCCGTTCGGCCGCCACAGCCCCTCTGGGGCCGGGACCGGCCGGTCGGCGGGAGGCCCCCCAAAGAGACCGCTTGTGGGGGGCCGACAAGATGGAGGCTATAACCAGTGAGTGATGATCGACTCATCTACCCTGTGGCCGACTCCCAAGCCCTCAACCCCCTCTGCCATGGCCTCAACACCACAGTCAACTGGCGGCCCTTTTTCGCCGTCGGGTCAGGCCCGCCCGCCCCCAGCCAGGAACCGCCCCGCCCCCAGCCAGCGCCCGCCCCCAAGGCCTCCAAGCCCTGCCCCACATCCAGGGCGGACCTCGCCCCGCCTCCTGACGAAGGTCTTTCCCTGGCTGAGCCAAAACCTACGTCCAGCCTTGCACCTTCCTCCATTCCCCAGTGGAAGCTGATTTCTTTAGGGCCAGACTCTAGAGGAGAACCCGAAGCAGATTTGTAGCATAGTGCGTAAAGCACTTGACTGTTAACCAGAAGGCTGGCGGTTTAAACCCACCAGCCACTCCTCAGAAGGAAGATGGGGCAGTCCTACTTCCGTAATGATACTGCCTCGGAAACCCAAGGAGGGCTCGCTGTGAGTCGGGGCTGACTGCCGGCACATAACAACAACAACAACAAAGTCAAGTGCGTGTTGGGGGAGTGGGGGTTGATCTGCTCCCCTCAGAATGCCCACCTCAGGCTCTGGGGCCTTTATCCTGATGGCTGGGCATCTCTCCCACTAGATTAAGTTCCAAGAGAAACCTGCTGCCACTGAGTCGACTCAGACTTATAGCAACCCTATAAGACAGGGTGGAACTGCCCCATAGGGTGTCCAGGGCTGTAAATCTTGGAAACAGACCTTCATCTTTCTCCCAAAGAGGAGCTGGTGGGTTCGAACCACCAACCTTTTTGTTAGCAGCGCAGTGCTTTAACCATAGTACCATCAGCGCTCCTAACCTGTGGTTAAATGCCACAACATAGGTGGCAATGCCTTAATCGTATACATGTTTTAAGGCTCAAGAGGAGTGGGCCTTAAAACATGTATACAACATGGAGACAGGGACTCTGAAATAGGAAGACGTGGGAGAAGCCAAATGGAGATGCTTGGGTGAGACAGAGTGATGATCAGTAAATACTGTTAAATAGACCAGGGAGAGAGGAAGCAGCTAGGAATATTCTGGAACGGGAAGGATTGGCAACAGACATGCCTGGAACTGCATGTGGGAGCTGGAAAGAGTAGGGCAGGAGACCTTTCCTGAAGCCCCCTGTCCACTCAGCCCTTAGATATCTGCAGTATGTCCAAATTTTTCTTCTCAAAAATCTATGCCCTACTCAACATTTTTAGAAAATACCCAAACATGTAATTCTGAACACATAGTAGATACTCAGTAAAGTCAGTTGCATGGGTGAGCCCATGCCTCCTCTAGGCATAAATACAGCACGTATTTGTTGAGCTGCCTTGTGCCTCAGTCCACTCTTGGTGTCGGTGCCTTTTACTGTCCTCTGTGCCTCCACATTTAGGTTCTCCTGAGCCCAGGTGGGTAACTGGCCAGAAACCCTGAGGCGCTCCATGGATACACAGAGTACTAAGCTCTGACACAGTTCTTTTGTTACTTAAAAATATTTTATTATAAAACATGGGCATGTTATGAAAACTCAAAACAGGACAGAATATATGATGTAAAAGTCACAGCCCCCACCACATGCTGTCCTCCCCAGAAACAATCACCCTTTGTGCTTTGGAGCATGGCTCTCTCCAGACCTTTTTCTATGTCTATTTGAGTGTATGTATTATAATTTTTTTTTTTTTTGGGTGAAAAAAAAAATTAGACAATACCATATATTTTGTGGCTTATTTTTGTTTCTAGTCAATATATTGTAGAAACTTGTCCATATCTTCTTTGTAGATCTACCAAATCAAGAAACCAAACCCACTGCCGTTGAGTTGATTCTGACTCATAGTGACCCTTATTGGGTTTCCAAGTTGGTAAATCTTTACGAAAGTAGATTGCCCCTTCTGGTTAGCAGTCAAATGCCTTAGGCACTGTACTGCCAGAGCTCCTTATAGATGTACTGCTTTCTTTTAAATGGCTGCATTATATTTTGTTTAAAACCAAAAGACCGTTGCTGTCACATCAATTCCAACTCATAGCAACCCTGTAGGGCTTCTATACAGAGCAGAACTTCTGCGCAGAGTTTCCAAGGCTGTAATCTTTGCAGAAGCAGACTGCCACATCTTTCTCCCACAGAGCAGCTGATATTGTTCCAACCGCTGACCTTTCGGTTTGCAGCCAAGTGCTTAACCCCTGCACAACAAGGGTTCCTTATATTCTGTTTAGCCATTGTCAATTTAAATAAAGTTATTTTGCCATGTTTGGTTAATGTGCAGTGAATCTACATTTGAATTTCTTCTGTGAGCTAGTCCACATTGTGGCCAGTACTTACCACAGGCAGATCGTGGATGCTCTGAGGCTGTGTAGTTTCTGAGCTCCCAGACTGAATATGTGAGAATAGCCTGCATGCATTTTTTTAATCTGGGAATTTCTGGAAAGACTCAAGGCATCATCAGTAAAATAGTGTAGAATTAGCTTTGGTCTTTCGCTGTCAGACGATTCTTTGCTTACACTTTCTGTTTGCCATACCCTAAGTCGTTCATTTTGGGGCTAAGCCCCCAAACCTACCTTTCTAATGCACCATCCTACATCGATGCACTCTCTATTCCCTTCCTCAGTAGTCCCTTTATTCCATACCAGATGAAGCTACACCTCCCTAAGACAGTAGAGGTTAGGTTGTCAGGGGTCTCCAGAGAAGAAATAAGTCTGCCTTTAACTTTGTGCCTCTAGGATAAGACAGAGTAGTTCACTTATCTGACCATCCTGACCTTGGATTTTGCAGGTGAGCTGCAGTCTCTTCGGGAGGAGATTTCCCTGTTGGAGCATGAGAAAGAAATTGAACTTAAAGAAATAAAACAGGAGTTGCACTTGGCCCATTCGGAGATCCGGACTCTGCAGCAGGCAGCGGAGGATTCTGCCACTGAACATGAGAGCGACATAGCATCCCTGCAGGAGGATCTGTTACGGATGCAGACAGAACTTGATGACATGGAGCGCATCCGGGGGGAGTACGAGCTGGAGATCGCCTCCCTCCGTGCAGAAATGGAAATGAAGAGCTCTGATCAATCCAATAGCGTCTCTCTCTCCAGTATCTCCGACATGCAAGGTATGAGAGCAGCCCTCCTCCTGGTCTGCCAGTCAGTCAAATCAGGCGGAGGAGAGAAGGTTGCATACAGAAAGATGGTAGAAAGTGGTATTAGATCCTAAATTGGGATCCTCTAGGAAAAACCTCCAGGTTGAATTTAAGACTAAACTAAACCAAACCACCAAACCAAACCCACTGCCATTGAGTTGGATCCGGCTCATAGAGACCCCTCCTTGGGTTTCCGAGGTGGTATCACTATGGAAATAGATTGCCAAATCTTCCTTCTGAGGAGTGGCTGGTGGGTTTGAACCACCAGCCTTCTGGGTTAGCAGTCAAATGCCTTAGGCACTGTGCTACCAAAGCTCCTGAATTTAAGACTGTAAAGGAGCAAAACATACCCAGATGTCACATAGTGGTTTAAGAAAGAACACCATGGAGATGTACCCTGGGAATCCTTCCTTGGAGAACCATTTGTGGATTTGACTATGGGAACACCTTTCCTGGGACACTTTCCAGTTCTGGGATGAGGGTGGAGGGGCCTGTCACCTTGAGAAACTCCCTGCCGGTCTGCCACCATGGTACTTTGCCCAGACTGCTTTATAGTGGGCCTCCAGTCCTACATACCAGTTCATAGGGTCCTTTAGCCCTCCCCAAAGTAGAAACTCAGGGAGCAACAAATGAGAACACAAGCTAGCTAAAAAAGAAGAGAGGTTCTTTTTTTTAATACATGAAACACTCAAAAGCTTAGAGCTCTGCCTTCAGACAGTGAGTCTCCCAGCTAGTTGCTAGGATTCATGATCTCAGAGGCCTTGCCTTTTTTCTGAGGCTAGATTTATGCTCTGGATATAATGGAGGCCCTATTAGTCTAGGCCAAGCAGAGGCCGTCAACAAGGAATCAAGGAGCTGCAAATTTTCAGAGCTGTATCAAGCCTGAGGACAAGCGGCGCCAGGAGAGGCAGAATCCCAGCACCATGAATGGGTGCAATGTGCTTAGTCTGGTTGTTATCTCGCTCTTGGCCTCAGTTTCTCCATCTGAGGATGGAGAATTAGATTTGGTCTTTAACCATCAAGTGATTCCTTAGAATCATTGCACATTACACGAAACCTTGCAGCTCGGTGTAACCTTGCAGGAAGAGGACAGTAGGGGAAATGGAGTGAATTCCAAATAAAGAATGGAGTTTAGTAAAGTACTAAATTTACTAAATTTAGTGTTGATTCCTAGTTGGGACACATGCACCCTGGTAATGTCAAATGTTAACAGAAGGGAAACCTGGGCGCGAACTCTCCCAGGAAATACTCTTTTCTATAAATCTAAAACATCAAAAATAATTTAAAAAAAATTAAACTGTAGATCTAAAATAAAAAGTTAATTTAAAAAAAAAAAAACCTTCCAGTGCTATTCGGAAGATAAATGAAATGCCTACCGTGTTGAAAGTACTCACAGAGTAGCTGAATCTGAGGCTGAAACCAGCAAGTCTAATGCTTAGCACATGGTTGGTTTTCACTAAAGAGTCATTTCCTTCCTGCCTTCTATGGTAATCTGCAGTATTCTGAGGAATTCTGACTGGCAGACAGAGGACACATTAGCAGTAACTTTCAGGGTGTTCAATCTTATGGCAGGTAAGACAGGTTCTAAATAAAGTATCCTGATCAAAGCAAGTTAGTGTTCCTTCAATACCTGTAGAATTAGTGTTCTGGGAATAACACTCCTTAAGCATGAAGAAACAAAACAGATTTGGGTATTTGTATTATTGCAGCAGTGAAAAAGTATTGACGACTGGTACTTAAAGACATATGCTGGGCATTTCAAAGGGATCTCTCTTCTAAGGCTTGAGGGTGAAATGTGAGTCTGGTTGGGGGTTTCTTTGTTAGCAGATGAATTCCTAACCCCATCCAGGCCAATCTGGTGATAAAGGAATACCAGAATGCCTGGGTTCTCTCTGAAAGGACTGGACTGGCAGTGTGACATCTGGCAGTTTACATCTCTCAGCTTTTTATGATAAGATCATAGTAGGAAGGCAATCAGAACAGGTCATTGGAACCTTTAAACACAATAACCAAAAGCGTAATGACACCCTCCAAAGCTAGAACTTCATGTCCCTGCCTTAGTTGGGGCTTTAATGATTAGCACCCGGGGAAGATCTTCTAGGAGGATGAGAAGAAGGGCAGCCACCTTCTTGTCACAATGAGGAAGACCCATTACACTGTGGGGTTTTCTGGGCCCTGCCTCCTAAGCCTCTGCATGGGGTATCTTCTCTGTCTTTGGATAAAGAGACAACAGTGCTGCCTTCTGCCCTCCAGTTTCTAGGTGGGAAAGTTGGGGCTGGTCTTCAATGCTTTCCTCCCCAGATGTCACCTCTCTCTACTTGTCCTCTGCAGACGAACTGGAGCAACTGCGGGAACGCTACCGCTACCTGAACGAGGAGTACCAGGCCCTGCAGGAGAGCAACAGCAGCCTCACAGCCCAGCTTGCAGATCTGGAGAGTGAGAGGTACAGCCGGGAGGCTGCTGGGCCCCTCTAGGCCTCCGCCTTAGGCAGATGCCAGAACAGCGAGCGTCCCTCTGCTCCTGGAGAGCTGATCCTTTTTATGGTACCCACAGGAGACAGATATGCCTAGAAGTAGGCACGGGGGGCCAACCCATTTACTTAGGACCATGGTTGAGTAAGTTCTAAAGTGTAGTTTTCTTCCATTCCAGGCATTGGGATCTGGTTTGCTCTGCCCTAGTGTATATTAAAGGAGACCTAGTGGTGCAGTGGTTAAGCACTCAGCTGTTAACCGGAAGTTTGGTGGTTCAGATCCACCGGCTCCTCCATAGGAGAAAGACATGGCAGTTTGCTTCCATAAAGATTTACAGCCTTGCAAACCCTAGGGGGCAGTTCTACTGTGTCCTATAGAGTCACTGTGAGTCAGAATTAATTGGATGGCAGTAGGTTTTTGTTGAGAGCATATTAGAACTGACTCCTTTATTGTCCACACAGACTTGATTCTTTCTGACAGCAGTGGGCCTCCACATTGGGGTCAGCTTGCCTCCAGGCCTAGCCTCAAGCCCATCTGGCCTGGCACTCTCAGGGTCTCCCAGCGCCAAATGTGTCTTTCTAGACTGAGATGCTGGGACCTTTTATGCAGTCTTTTAAACATACTTATTTGAGAGCTGACTCCCAGTCCACGGTCCCTATCTTTTGCCTGAAATGAAGGCATCAGAACCAAGCAGCTTGGCTGGTGATGCCAAGCAAAGCTACCTCCCAACATGGCTCTGGGCTTCTGGATTACAGAACACGAAGAGCAACTGCAAGGTGGGTGGATTCCCAAGCACTAAAGAGTATGACATCAGCAGAGTCTCAGACTTCGGAAATGGATTTCCTAGAGCCTGATCCTGAGACCCAGTTGTTGCGACAGCAGCTGCTGGGCGCAGAGGAGCAGATGCACAGCATGAAGAGCAAGGTAGGGCCTGGGGCTGCGGGCAGCAGGCACCTTTCACTGTCTCCCTCTTACCCCCTCCTGGATGTGGTGGCTGCACCTCCTCAGGCCCAGCGATGAGCCAGGAGCTAGTACTCCGGGGGGTGCTTGCTTGCCTGAGGTAAATACTGCAGTAAAAGGAATGCTGTCCTTGCCCCATGCCTGCCCAAGAGTGCATCTGGTCCCTGCTCCCTTCCCTGCACAGTGTAAGGAACTGTGTTGTGAGCTGGAAGAGCTACAGCAGCAGCGCCGAGCCAGCGAGGAGGAGCAGAGGCGGCTGCAGAGGGAGCTCAAGTGTGCGCAGAATGAGGTGCTGCGGTTCCAGACGTGTCACAGCGTCACCCAGGTAACAGTGATGGGGGGGGACATCTGGGGAGGGCAGAAGGGCCTCCGTGGCTTCACTGCTTTGGGGAGGGGATGAGCACAGAGAACAAGGCTGAGTGCGGCTGACTCTTGTCTCTGATCTGGGGGATAGGCCACCGGAGACCAATTTGAGAACTTGTACAGTGTTGTGCTCTGGAAGTGCTCGTCATTAGTGAGCGTCTACCTCAGAGCAAAGGCCAAACCTGTGGGAGCCCTTCTGTCACTCGCTGCATGAGCAGCAGCCAGGCTGCTCTGTGAGGCCTCTGCTGTTTCCTGAGAGTAACTGCTCTGCCTCCGTCCTCCCACCACAGAACGAGGAGCTGAAGACGAAGCTCCGTGCCCTGCAGGAAAAGTACGATGCTAGCCAGGACGAGCAGAGTGAGCTCCTGAAGGTACAGCTGCAGCTCCAGACCGAGCTCCGGCAGCTCAAAGTCAAGAAACCCGCAGCCACAGACGGCCACAGCGATAAGGTAACAGCAGCCAGAGGCGGGGCGCCTGTCACCATCTCTCTCCTGCCTTCTCCTGCCCTGCAACTTACAAAGTTGCTAGACCTATGTGAAAAAGGACAGCTGAGGTGCTAAGAGCACCGGTCTGAGGTTTGGGCAAAGGTGGGTGAGCATAGAGAGTTAAAATAACCTGTGCAGGACCTCAGGTAAAGAACTCGGACCACCCTCCGACCATCTGCATTAGATAAGACAGCCAGTGAGTGAAGGCAGGGAGAAGTCCATTCCCCAGCTGTCAGTGTCTGAGTGTGGCCCAGGCAGGAGAGTGGGTTCAGGATCTCGGAGGCACTGCCCAGAGCCCCCTCCGCCGTAGGAGTTACTGTGCCGGCTCCAGAGGCTGCAGCTCCGGTACCAGAACGTCGTGTGTGAGAAGGAGAGGCTGCTGGAAGTTCAGCAGCAGCTGCAGGATGATCTGCAGTGCCACGAGGCGGAGGTGCAGCGCCTCAGGGACGTCGAGGCCTCCTTCCAGGAGAGCAGTGAGAAGGTAAAAGGAGCTTCAGGCGAGGGAGAGCGTAGCAAGGCAGAGTCCGCTGAGGGTAACAGTGCCCCGGAGGAGTGAGGACGGCAGGAGTGGTGTGGACCAGCTGTTGGTGAGGGGGATACAGAGCACATGATGGAAAGGAGCTTGGGGTCACGGTGCTCTCGGCTTCCTTTGATTTTGAAGCCGAGAATCAGCCTCTATAAAGGAAGCCCCCTCCCTTCCCCACCTTCCAAATGAAGGAAGCCCCAGAAGGTCTGCGTTTAGATCCTGTTAAGGACCGGTCCATCTTGGGGATCTCCCATCGGGATGAAACCGGGGCTGGGAAGTCCCAGGGCAGGCCCCTTAGTCCCTGCCTGAGAGGAGCGATGCGGCAGCAGGGGACTCGGGATGACGGCAGGGCCTACCCCCCCGCCCCAGAATGAAGAGCTGCACGCCCAGCTTCAGGAGCTGCAGCGGATGTACCAGGCCAGCAAGGAGGAGCAGGAGCGGCAGAAGCACATGTACGGTCAGCTCGAGCAGGACTTCTTGCTCTGCCAGCTGGAGCTGACACAGCTGAAGAGCACCCAGAGCCTCCCAGGGGACAGGGGGAAGTGCGCCACGAAGGTAATTGTCTCCCAGAGAGTGAGCGCTCCTGGGCACTTCCCTGGGAGACAAGGGGGAAAGAGGCCAAATACAAAGTCATCCAGCCACAGCTGAACCTGGCAAGGCTGGACCACAGGCAGAGCCATACGCTGGTAACCTTACCAGATGGACCCTTTGCCTGGGCTTGGCTCTGAGCCAGAGGGGGAGAGCATTCTGAGCACCTGAAGGTTTTACACATGATCTCCATGTGTGTAGACATTTATACGTTGATATTGGAACTATAGTGGTATCTAGTGACTCGTGGAAAAGAACATATGCATAGGTCCATAGACACAACAAGGATTGTTAGAACTAGCGAGGTCCAGTTGCCTGAGGTGGTTTGCTAGTGCTCTCGTATGCGGCATGGTCTTAGGCCCCAGAGATCTGTTCTGTGACCTTCAGAGTAGTTAAATTCTCTAAGCATGAATTTTACCCTCTTTAAATTGATCAGAACACTACTCTCATCTCACTTCCTTTCAGTAATAAATCCAAGGAGTGCTGACTAAGGCCTTACTCATTTTCTCCTTTTCCATCATATGTAAAATGCAAGCTATTATCAACTGCCTTGTGTTGAGCACTTGAAGCTCCCATCTCTGTTAGGGAATGGAAAGGTCTGAAAGCATGTTGGAGAAAAGGGACAGGACTCTCAAAAGGTGTTTAGATGGTCCCATTCTGTCTGAATACTCAGCAGCTCCTGCCACAGCCAATAGCAGGCTGTTTCTCTTCAGAAGACATGGGATTGGGACGGTTATTCAGGCCACCTCCACAGCCCATCTGCCTTTCTGTGCCCTGGCTCACATTTCCCACTCCTAATCAGTTTCAGGGCGCAGGGGTTACCTGACTACTTACACCATGACCAAACAACACCTCCTGTCAGATGGGAAAGGAGAAGCATACTGGCGTACAGAGCCAGCTTCTCTAATCATAAAACAACATCGAGATGAGTTTGATACTAGGTTTAGGTTTTTGGAATCTTCAGGTGATTTAGTCTTCTCAACCCAATTCAGCAATACCTTAATTGAGCAACAGCTTAGTAAAGAGATTATGGAAACAAAAATGGGGTAAAATTAAGTTCTTATGGGTAAGGAGCATGTTGTTGTTGTTATGTGCCATCGAGTTGGACCTGACTCATAGCAATCCCTCCTTGGGTTTCCGAGGCAGTATCACTATGGAAGCAGATTGCCCAACCTTCCTTCCAAGGATTGGCTGGTGGGTTTGAACCACCAGCCTTCTGGTTAGCAGTCAGGTGCCTTAGGCACTATGCTACCAGAGCTCCTGGTAAGGAGCATGTTGTTGTTGTTGTTATTTGCAGTCGAGTCAGCCCATAGTTAGGTCTAAAAGCAAGTAGGGATCATGAGAGTAACAATGACACCTCCCAGCAGGGTGGCAAAGTAGTCAAGGAGGGAGAGAGGAGAGGTGAGGGAAAAAAAGAATAGAGGGCCGTGGATAACACTGGCTCTCAACTGCCCTTAGAAGGAAACAGTAGAGGAAATTTAGAGCACAGCCAACCAGCAGTCTGACAGAGCACCTGCTGGGGTTCCCCACTGAACACCTAGGCCTGGTCTGTAGGGGTGCAGAGCGGCTTGGGATGATCAGGCCAAGGTGACTGTAGGGAAAGAGACCCCAGGGACTCACATGAGTCACGAGAGTACAGAAGTGCCTTGCTAGCCACACAACGTCAGGAGTCAGGAAGTGCCCCTTGCAGAGTAACTGCATCCTCCACACCCCACCTCATCCACAGTGTGATGAACTGCTCTCCAGACTGACAGAATTGCAGGAGAAGTACCAGGCCAGCCAGCAGGAGATGGGGCAGCTGCAGATGGAGCAGTGTGAGCTCCTGGAGGATCAGAGGAGGATGCAGGAGGAGCAGGGCCAGCTGCAAGAAGAGCTGCACAGGCTCACCTTCCCCCTCCCCAAATGCGGTCTCATCCGTAAGGTAACCCTGGCCAGGCAGTGGCTGCGAGCTGTGGAGAAGCTTCCCAGGTGGAGCTCTGGGGAAAGTTAAAGGGTAGGGGTGGAACGTTTCATTTCCTAACCAGCCACTCCTTACTTTCTCACCAGTCTCTCCAAACCAAAAAGCAGAGTTACAGCTCATTAGTGTTCTTCTCATAAGAGCTCGAAATCTTAAAATACATTTTATACTCTGGAACCAGTGCAGCATTTTATAGTTCTCCATCTGGAGGAAATGTATTTGAAAGCATTTCGTAAACTACGGAGTACAGTACATCCAAATACACTGGGTTATCACTGCTCAGTTAGCAGGCCTCCACAGAGAGACTCCCTCATCCCCAGATGGGCCGTGCACAGACATTCTGAAGGGACTGGACCCCAGAAGAGAGGAGGCGCGGGAAGAGAATAGGTCTTCACGTTCAGCCCCACAACTCCTTCCTCCTTCCCTTCCACTATTCCCTGACAGAGTCAGGATCTGCTTACAAAGTTGCAAGACCTATGTGAACTGCAGCTGCTCTACCAAGGCTTGCACAATGACCAGAAAAAACTGCTAGAGAGTCAAGGAGCCTTATTGAAAGAACAAGTAGAGCTGCATGAAGATCTGCGACTCTACAGAGAGTCTCACTTCCGGGCAGTGTTGGAGACTCCCAAGAATTCCAAATCGCCTAAGTCCTCAAAATTCGATCATAGCAAGGTAACCGCAGCACGAGGCAGAATCCAGCCAAGGAGGCAGCTGTCCTGAGGACAGCGGCATCTCAGGGAAGGGGGGCGCTGCACAAAGGTCCCCGTGAGGGAAGCCTGTTTGGCCAGAGGTAAGGAAGAGGCCAAAGCCCCGCCCTTCACTAGCTGTGACTGTCCCCACGCTCCACTGAGATGTGGCTTCAGGTGCAGCCTGGGGACCTCACCCAGATGCCTGCCCCACTGAAGCACTATGAGCGCTTAGACCTGAGGTGACCCAGAAGTCTGTAATCTGGTCATTTGACAGTCCCTTTGACATGTTATTTCAAGATACATAATATCCATTTAGTGTCTGGGTTCCTTCAGACTGACTGTAAATCTATCTTCCTTTTCCTATGAGCTGAAAAGTATGCTTCTCAGTTACCAAAATCCTTAACTGTTTGGTTTTCTACATGTAGCTAATTTGGGGTCATTCATCTCCAAGAGAAGAAGTCCTGGCATATGGGGTTCTTAGAACTGACCACACTGTCTTTGGAACCTTGGTAGCAGTAATAGAGTTGGGTCAGGGAGATTAGAGAATTGGTGTATCTCCAGCACCAGCAAGAGGTCAGGTCTGTGAGGTCACATGGGCACAGAGTCTGTTCAGGGCTGGGGGTGGGTCTGGTCTAAAGTCTCATCGTGGGCAAGGAAGGGCAGGTGGACGGTTCCAGCTTAGGCTGAACCTAATCATTCCAGTGTTGGCCTAGACAGGGAGACCCATGGAATAGCAGAAGTCCAAATTGTGAGACTGGGTCATATTGCAGAGACATCAGATATCCAGGCTGAAAGCCTGGGTAACACAGAGGCTGGGGAACTAAGTAGAATACATTTCGTTAACTGGTCAGATCTCATCCTGGGCATCAGCAGCCAAGAAGGCAGACCTAGTGGCCAGATGCAGAATTGGGGCAGGGGAGGTTCAGGGACAGGTAGTGAGCCCTTCATTCCAAGTCCACATTCTCTGAGGACGGAATTCTTTGTCTGCCCACATTCAAGGCCAGGCCTGATTCTAGGGGAGGGGAGACCAAGCTAAAGGTCAGAAGAGTGGGCACATGTGACTGAGAAGAGGGTGGGTAGGGCTGAGAGTGTGCAGCACTGCTCAAGGAGGGAGGGATGTACCAGGACGTAGAAACGCGAGGCCAGAATCATGGAGTCTCTGCCCTGGAGAGATTTTCGTACATAAGCAAGAAAGAGACACCTGCCAGTTACCTGTAGGTTGAGTTGGAGACACAGGCTAAGGTGAAACTGAAGTGTAGGTGTGTGGTTCTAGAATGTGCTGTCAGACATCTGCCCCAGAAGAGGTCCAGCTAGGGCTGCAGTGGCTGAGGGTAATGCTAAAGTCTCTCACCCCTCCCCTGGCAGTCCAAGGAGCTCATTGAAAAGATGCAGGGCCTGCAGACGCTGTACCAGGCCGGGGAGGCCCAGCAGGAGCTGCTGCAGCAGGAGCAGGGGCGGCTCCTGGAGGAGTGCCAGCGGCTGCAGGCAGATTTGCAGCTCTGCCTGGAAGAAATGCAGCTGCTCCAAGTCCAGTCCCTGACCATCAAAATGAGCCTCGAGTTCTATAAGAAGAACAACGGCAGCATGCCTCCCAGCAGGGAGAGCTATCACAGGAGTTACGGTAGCTCCACAGATGACACCGAGAGCTATCACAAGAGTTACGGTAGCACCCTGACCAGCACTGAGAGCTTTCTCAAGAGCTATGAGAGTAGCACCAATGGCAGCGAGATCGCCAACAAGAGTCACCACACCAACAGCAGCAGCGTCACCTTCAAGAAGAGTTACGGCAGCACTAGTAGCAGTGACAGCAATCACAAGAGTTACGTCAGCAGCACTGACGACACTGCTGAGGTGGAAGATATAGAGGTAACAGCAGCCAGATGATGTCAGGCAGGCAAAGAAGGGCTCTTGTCTTTCTAAGAGAGAAAGTCAGCAGGGGTAGGGCCCAAGAAGCAGGTAGGGAATGGGGTCAGAAGCTGACCAGGGTGTCTCACTGGAAATGAGTGAGGCACCTGCCCCGTGGTGGGCCCTGCCTTCTCCTCATCTGGAGACGCTCCTGTCCGGATGGAGGCCCAAGATTCAGGACTTTTCATCAGCACAGTCGTGGTGGTCTTTGTGGAAAGAAGTGCAGTACCCCCTTCAGATCTTTGTGGCCTTTGTTCTGTCCTCCAGGAAGGGCCTGGCAGCAAGAGGGGGGTGGTGGGCAGGTGCTCCTCCAGTGTTGTCACGAGTCCCCCACCCTCCACAGAACTTTGAGGAGGTGGTTGCCCAGGTGTTGATCAAGCTGCAGGCCATGCAGGCCATGTACCAGGTCAGCCAGGAGGAGCACAGCCTCCTGCAGGAGGAGATGAAAAAGTTGCTAGAGAAGCAGAAAGAGCTAACGGAAGAGCTGGATGCCTGTGAGAAGGAATTCAAGGAGTGCGTGGAATGCCTGGAGAAGCCCGCTACCCCCCAAAACGACAAGAATGAGGTAACCGCTCTCAGGGAGGTAGGGTCTCTTCTAGGGATCCCTAGAGCCCGAGAAGGTCATAGCCATTCAGAGAGGAGAAAGAAGGCAGCAGCACACTGCTGGCCAGGCCTGCAGAAGGCCCTCTTCCTGACCAGAGGGACTGGTTGTGGAGACGGAATGCCAGGATGCTGGGTGGTCAGCTGCATCACAGACCCCTGTCAGCCGCAGTGCTCGCTCTGCTGAGACATCCTGGGCAGCAGAACTCCTCCTCTCTTGGAATCATTTTTCTCTTTTTCCCTTTGCCACTTCTATTCACTCTTCTGCTTTGTGTCCTGTAGCACTTGTGTAGAGTTGTATTGTTTTCACCTCCCAGTTTTCTTCAGTTATATTATGTGTATTTGTCTTGTCTTCCCAACTCCATTTTAAGTACCTCAAGGACAGACTATGTCTTCTTCTATTGGATCTCCCATAATGGCAAGAAGAGTGCTTTGCCCACACCAAGAATGGGGCAGAAGACGTAGTCTGGCCAGGAGTTGTTCCCAGTGCAGTAGGGTGGGTGTAATTAATCTACAAGGGTGTAGATTAATTACTATTGGTGCCTGCTGAGATCATCAGTGTGCTGCCATCAGTCAGGACGGAGCCACAGACCAGGGAGCAGGGCTGTAACTGCCTCTGTCTCAGGCAGAGCTGTAGAAGCCAGCCCTCTTTGGAGCATACAACACGTTTCTTGGGTAATTGTACCTACCAGAGAAATAGGTTGGGTAAAGTAGGAGTTCCCATAACAGAGAATGGTGTAATAAGAAGACCCTGAAGTTCCCAAGCAGTACCCTTATAGCAGTCCCCCAGAAAAGTAACAATGAGAAGCCCAAGTCACTTTTTATTTGTTAGATAGATCATCAGGTGCCTCTCGTTAGGCAGAAGCTGTTTGTGAAACTACCTCAGAGGCTCATTTTCCCTGCATTAATGTTCTCCCCGTCTACTTTTCCACGGGCTTTAGCAGGGAGATGTCTGAGGCGGTGACAGCAGGCAGGGCCCAGGCTGACAGGGTCGGCCTGCCCGGCTAACCGGCTGTCCACCATCTACAGATCAAAGAGCTGCAGGCCAAGCTGCGGGAGCTGCAGCTGCAGTACCAGGCTAGCATGGACGAGCAGGGGCGGCTCCTGGCTGTTCAGGAGCAGCTGGAGGGGCAGCTGCAGTGCTGTCAGGAAGAGCTTCGCCAGCTCAAGGAGAAGAGGTCCTCTGTTTCCAAAGACATCAAGGGAAAGAATAGCAGTAAGAACATGAACAAGAATGCCAACGGAGTTAAAAATAAAAAGCTGAGTCTGGAAAAGAGTGAGGGCAGCTTTGAGAGCAGAAAAAAAGTGAGTATAAACTTGGTAGCCAGATAAGCAGCAAGGTGGAGGAGGTCCTGGGAAGAAACACCATCTCCCTCCATAGAGAGGGTTCTCCCAGGTGAGATATTTGTAGAAGAGCCGCTGGGGCGTCTCAAGCATCTAGAGGGGTCCATCTGAGCAGATATGGAGTGCTCCCTTTTCCTGTGGAGCCATGAGAATGGAGTACAGACAGCCAGAGGTATAGCCCCAAAACACCAAAGCCCAACTCGACAACTTCATCCATTGACATTCATCTAGTCCCTTTTTCTGGGTTATATGCCCAGTAGAAAGACCAAATAGATGAAGAGTGAGAAATATGTTCACAGTAGTTGGGTACTAATAAGTGAAATAGGATTGGGTAAAATGAGAGTTGCCATGCAATGGCTAGGAAACAACATTTTGGGGTGCTGAGACAAGAATCTTTAGCTCTGATAGCTGTTTGACGTGGCTTAATGACCAAATAGTTGCGTTGGTCCAGAGATCCTAGGGATGACTGCCCTCTACTCTATACTCAGGGAGATTGACTCAGAGTCCCAGAATCCAGTGCTCTGCCCTTGCATTATTACAGGTGGGGAACTAGAGTTTTCTTGAAATAGCTTTGAAATCTTCATCGGGTAGGCATCTTCATAGGTAACAGCATCCCCTGTCCTCCTCCACCTCCACCCCACAGAGTCTGGAGGTGCTGCTGTACTACAAGGCCAGCCAGACGGAATTAGATGAGCTAGCAAGAGCGCAGGAAAAGAAAGAGGAGGAGGAGAAGGAAAAGGAAGAATACGAGGAGGACAAGAAAGAGGAAACAAAGGAAGAGTCCTTGGATGAACCACCTGAGCCATTGGATCTTACAGAAACTGAGTCAGCAGAAGATCTGGAAGAATATGAAGAGTTCCACGACCTGGAGAATAAGGAAGATGAGGACTGTGACGACCCTTGCCCTGAAACTTCAGAGGAAAACCCCCTCAAACTTTCTGAGAGCAAAAAGGTAACTGCAGCCAAACACTGGATCAAGTGGGAAATAGGCTCAGGTACCCCAGTGGCCTGGTGTTCAGGGTGGCATGCCTGAGGTTGGACTTCTGCAGGAGTAGAGGGCAGAGAGCTTTGACATGTGCACTCGGACGGTAGAAATGGAGAGGAGGCCCGAAACAGCAGTCTCTCCATGTCAGTCCTACATCAGTTGGCTGTGGAACCTCCTGGCAAAGCCACCTTGTCCGAAGTAGGGTCTTCAGAGTCCTGTCTCCTTTCATTTACATGGTAGCCCTTGCTACCTTACTTAGGTCAGGAGGGTCTCCTCACCCTTAGCTCTACACTAAGGACATGGATAGTATTTTCAGGGTCTTTCTTTCACCCTAAGCAAGTCACTCAGCCCTACTTCCCTGTGGTGCCCTATTAGGTTTCCACTGTCTTGTCATCATTGTCATGTTGGGGGTGTGGGGAGGGAGATAAGTCCCTTTCTTATAGACTTGTTTAGCCCACTGGGCATGAGGGGGCCTGGAGTGGTCTAGTGTGAGAGTCAGAATATTTCACAATCTATGCAGAAGCATTGCCCAGTCCAGAGAGACTGCCATAGCCCTAACCCTTTAATTGCTGTATCTTTGCAAGGCTGGCGTGGGGGTACCCTAGGGGATGTGACCAGAGGGCAGGGACAGTTTACCAACTATACAGAAGTATTTTCAGTATTTCAACAACTGGCACGTTTGTACAGGTATGTACCAGCTCAGTTCCTGCTCTGGTTGAAGTCAGCAGGGTCTCTGGTTTTGTGATGAGTTTGATTACTTCTCAAATAAGTGTTCAGGTTATAGTCGAAGTGTTTTCTCTCCCTGTGAACACAAGGAGGGAGTTCTGGTGGCGTAGTGCAAACACAAGGAAAGGAAAGGCAGTCCTTTGCGGGGGATGACCAAGTCACCGCTGAAGATACCTGGAGTGTTCCAGCAACTCGGTCTGCAGCACTGGTTGAGGATCCAGCGTGAAGTCCTCCGTTAACATTGACCATTAAGGGATCATTACTTAGGAAGCAAAGTTGGAGTGATACAGCCCCTTCCCCACTGTTGTAGTTCTTTGAACTCGTCGTCACATTTCACCACTACAAGGTACTGGTTCAGTGCCTCCTAGATTTACACTCGGGCACCACAATTCTAAAAACCAGACCTGATTTCTCCTTCAAAGTAGAGTTCACCCCTGTCCCTTAGCCCCAGCAGGTCCTGCCTCTTCTGCAGGCAGCTCCACTGACACACGTGTTAGCACCTGCAGCTCCCGTTTCTCCCCTGGAGACTGCAGTCTGAGAGCCAGCCTTCTCGGCGGCTAGCTTGTAGTGCCTTTTAGCTCACCGTTCTAGCCTCAGGCTCCTATGTGAGTGTAAGCACCAAAACTCATACCACTCAGGGGCTTGAAGGAAAGCAGATCAAAACAAAGGACTTAACAAAGGGAGAGATGGTGCAACTGAAAACTGGCTTTAGCGTGATCTGGGAAGAGCCCATGCCCTGCTATTCTGCAGGAGCCCGGCTTTCCTCTGGAGCTTCACTTGTCCAGAGTCACCAGCCCACAAGGAAGGTCTAGGGGCAGCTACCCCATGCTTGACGGGGTAGGAGACGTGTGTGATGAGCCAGGAAACTGGACTCCCCACCTGGCTTGGACCTACACTGCTGCTTAATCCATCAGTTTTGGATCTTCTACAGGATCCCAGTGGGAAGAACCAGGGCCCCAGGTAGCAGAGAGGAAAGACTGCTGCTGTAGCTTTCCTGCCTTTTAACCTCCTGATTTCTTTCTCTTTCCCCTTTGTTGTATCATCTTCATTCTCTGTTGGACTCATGTGTTTATGTCTTCGTTACCACCTTCTCTCCTGGTCTCCTTGTGCTTCTTTCTCATTTGATATGTTGCAGCCATCCCCTGCCCCCGACCCCCCCATCTTCTCCTTGCCTCTTGTAGGCCTGGTGGTCATATCGGCTTTGCTCTGGTGCTGGTGGGCCGAGACGTCGTCCTAACACAGGTACTGGTATTGCTTCCTTCTCAGGGACACGGGGCGGGTACAGGTCGCCCTGGCCTCTCCTCTTTCCCTTTTCTCTCAGCTGCTTGCTGCTTGCTTTTGCCATTTTACAGCAGGCGTTGCTCAGGTCCAAGCTTTAATCCTGGATTTTCCTTGGGCACCTGCAAAGCCCATACAGTTTCTGCACATGTCTTCATAATGCATAGGGAGTTGGGATGATTCTCAGAGTTCGCGTTTCTGTCCTGAGCTGGGAAAGACTGGGTGAGCCCAGCACTGTTGCTGCTTTCAGAGCTGCCTGCCTTCTTCTGATGAGCTGATGTTTGTCTGCAAGGCTGGCCTGGGCTCTGTTTGTCCCCGAGCCAAGCTCTCGCCACTGTTGCTACCCAGGATGGCAAAATAAGGAGTCACCCTCTCTCATTGGGTGTGTGAAGTGTGGCGAGAAGGGGTCTGTCAAGCTGCAGCCCTCCCAGGCTCAGCTGTATAAGGGCAGCCTTAATTCATCCTTCAGCCTTGATGAAAACGGGACTGAAACCTTGTCTGTATTACGCATTTTCTACTGAAATGTTTCTCTCCTTTGGAGCTTCAGCTCTTCAGAGAATCGGAACAAGGATGGAAACGTTTTATAGTTCTCCGTTTATCCATTTTGGGGGCCGGAATCCATTGTAATTGGCTTCCCAGACTAGATTTTCTCAGGTGAATGTGGTATTGGTGAAATGTTCTCACTAACCAGAGATGTAAGGGTTCGCAGGGATTCAAGACTGATGTGTTCTGGGCGCCTTCCAGTTGGCCTCTGTCCATGTAATCTGCTCTATCGACAGGAGACTGAATCCAGGAGGCAGAATGTAGCCTTGTGGCCTAAGGTAGAACCTCTTGGCCTGTTCTGGCTCCTTTCTCATGCTCTCCCTGCCACCACCACCCCTTCTCACATCCCGTAAATGAAATTGTTTTTAGGTGTCTTCAAGTCAGCTCTGACTCACAGTGACCTTGTGTACAGCAGAACGAAACACTGTCAGGTCCTACACTGTCCTCAGAATCCTTGGTATGCTTGAGCCTGTAGTTGGAGCCACTGTGTTGATCCATCTTGTTGAGGGTCTTCCCCTTTTTCAGTGACTCTCTACTCTACCAAGAATGATATCCTTCTCCAGGGAGTAAATGAAGAAGAGTCATTCTAATGCATGGGCTCAGAGTGGCAGGTGTGTCACGTGTTGGGGGTACTTCTCACCACTTCCTTTTCTCTTACCTTTGTTTTGCCCACTTTCTCCCCTTTGACCTTTCTCCTTTTTTCTTTCATTAGGCATTCCAGTCTCTCTCCATGGACAGTCTTTATTCCTTTAGTGACAGGGGTCTCCCTGTGCCTGGCTTCCCCCCCTCCATTTGCTCCCAGATGCCAAATCCCTGTGGGATGACGCCCAAAGCATCCAGTCACCATCTCTTGCCAGCTGCAGCTCAGCAGGCCCAATCAGAGTGAGAGGAGGGAACTCCTAGGTAAGGGTCCCCATTAGGCCCAGAGCTCTGGCTAAGCCCCACTTTGCACTCCGCACCCAGGAACTGAGGCAGCAGAGTATGGTAGACCCTTGTGGCAGACAGGCGGTCAGAGGAACGTGGCTGCTTTCTCTGCTGCTTATAGGCTTTGCCACAGTGAGCAAATGTATAATCTGAGCTCTTCCTCAAATATAAACAAAACGATAAAAGATGGGCCTTCATCACAGGGCTTCTGGGAGGCTCAGATGAGTTAGTGCATGTGAAGCCACCACGTAAGTAATCTAAGCAGCTTACGCTTACTTAATGCGGACTATGGCTGGGCACTGTTCTAAGCATTTCACGTATATTAACTCATGAATCTTTTCATCAGCCCTATGAGGTAGCTATCATTATTCCAATTCTCACTTTCCATAGGAGGCATCTGAGACGCAGAGAGGTTAAGTAATACAGCCAGGAAATCATGAATTGAGCTACAAGAACTTGATATTAGCTGCAGTTAATAGTCCAGTCCTGTCTCCCCTTAACATCCCTCCTTGTTTAAAGAACTTTCCTTGGTTGGGAGCAAGTAGTTAGGAAGACACTGTATTTCTGTCTACGCAGCTCAGATTACAGCAGCTGCTTGGTAACTAACACGTTGCTAACAGATCGCCTGTCTTCTTCATAAAACCCCTTTTGCACGTTGCACATACTACATGTCCTCTCCCCATTCTGTACCTGCAGTTTCCTTTTTTTTTTTTTTGATCCAACGGCAGAATTTTCTATTCATCCCTATTAAATTTCATTAGATACGGTCCATTGCTCTACCTGGGAATTTTTTTTTTATCTTGATTCTGTGACTCAACATACTCACTTTCCCTGCCAGCTTCATATCATTCTCAGGGGTGAGAAGCCCACCTTCCATATCTCCAGCCAAGTCACAGGTGAGGATGGAGTCCCACGTAAGCCTCTGGAGCGTCGGCTCTCTAGCTTCCTTGTATTCAGCTCATGCTCAGTTAACAAGCGGTCATACAGCAAACCACACCGTTATCTGCAGCGATATTATGGAAAATCTTGTCAGACTCCTTGATTCAGTCCAAAAGCATTATTTTCTTGATTTACCAGTTCAGTAACCCAGTCTACAAGGAAAACCTGACTCACCTCTTGGAACAACCCAAACCTTCCCTAGACTCACCCCTTCTAGCATCTTGTCTCTGCCCAGTGTAAAGTCCTCCCATTTATGTTTGTGAATTTCAGCTCTTTCCTCCTTGAGAACACCAGACTGTCATTTCCACCAGTGCACATTAGCGTGTAAACATGTGAGCATGTAAACATTTTCAGTTCTTTTTCTCACATGAATTACTCTGTCCACCTACAACATGGGTTTGCTTTCCATTTTGTATCTTCTGTTCTTAGTAACTATTACCATGAATTTTGGAGGTTTTCTCTGCTCCTTATAGTTGGCTTAAGATCCTCTTGTTGGAGCAGTTATCCTCCGAGCAACTGCATTCTTAGCACTAATGGGGTATACACCATTCTTACCTAGAACGACTCTTCCGCTGCCTTAAGCCTTAGCTTATGGTTCAAAACCCAAATTGTGTCTTTCACATAGTACAGTTAAATAATAATAATAGAAGCTAATTCACCAAGGAGGTTTTTTCTTGTTTAGGATTCCCTTAAAGATGCTTTTTGGGTATCTTCTGATGGTGGTGTTTGTTGGCCTAGGAGTCAGCAGGATTCACCGGTGGTCAGCAGGGTCTTGAAGCCTCGGCACTCTGGCTAGCACATGCTCAAAGAAGTCAATCAGCACACCTGGTGACCAGAGGGTGTTCTAAAGACCCTGCCACTTTCCCTCCTAGGGCCAGTAACACGTCTTGCATTTTCTTGAACCAACAAGTTCAAGCAGTTCTTAACTGCTTAAGAACCTCCTATTTACCTGAACTCCGTAGCACCCTTTCTTCCCTTTCCCCTCAGTCTTATCCCTTCTCCTCCCACCATCCTATTGATGCTGAGTTCATTTCTTCTCCATAAACCAATGCTGTTGCTTTTCCCAAAGACCCAAATTCACTGTGTTTTTTTGTGATGGCAACCAGCTCTTTCTCGCTGCAACCATCTGGGGACTCTTGAGCTCTGTTTGCTGAGCTTCCCGCCACTTGTAAGGAACTGGTATTCTCTTCATCCTGTAGGGAGAAATGGAGGCCGGCATGAAGGCAGCCACCTGAAATGATACATCCAGTGTTGTTCCAGGTATCTAGGGGACCAGGGCTAAAAGACCACAGCCCCTCCAGCAGTTACCCAGGAGCTAAGAGACTGATCTGTGTTGTTCCTGAGGGGTCTCTCGCCAGCACCAGTAGGCAGGTGGTTTCTGGCTTTGGGAAGGGTTCAGGAGGCCGGGCACTCACAGTTCTCCTTTGGTCCCCACAGAACATGTTTGGGATGTGGAAGCCTATGGTGTTCTTGGCTATTGCAGCTGTGGCTCTGTATTTGTTACCCAACATGCGACCACAAGAGACAGAGTTCTGCCTCATGGAGTGATGGCAGATCTGGGCCAGCCGAAGGGCAGATCCCCAGCGGCCACCACCTTCAGCTTCGTGCAGGACATTGTGCCAGAGCCCCATCCCACCCATGTGCCCCACATGTCCCCGTTTCCTTAGCCTCAGTCACCCAGGCTGGAAAGGCTTGTGGAGAGTTGCTGGCTCCTATCTCCTGCCTTGTATAAGAACCTGGGTTCCTTGTAATTAAATATCAACCTAATTACATGAGACTTTGTGGCTTCTTATTTGCTTGGTGCCTCACAACACAACCAAAACAGAGTAATTCTTCTTTAACCAGGTACCTCACATAAGAGTCTGTTTTCCTGGCTGTGATTTCTCACTCTACACATGACTTTAGAAACAAGTTTGGCTGCCAGCTGAGTTGCAGATGGGCTGGTCCATAGTGACCCTATCTCAAGGAACTCACCTAAGAGTGAAGAAATGGAATTAACTGGGCTCTTTGTGTGAGGGGCCAAATGACTTGCCCTAGGAGTGCCCACGTTCATGGCTACTGTGAGGAAGGTCCTAAGAAGATGTGTATGTAAGTTTATGTGAATGATCAGAATTCCCAGGTGTATAGTAGAGCTGACAAGGGGCAAGGTTATGGTCACGGCTTGGTCGCAGCCAGCTACCCAGAGGGACCAAGTAGTTGAACCTGTGGGCTTGGGACCATAGT